AAAAATGTGCACTTAGGGATCTTCTTGACTGGTGGGACATACAGTCTTATATAAAGATGCTTATGCAGGGTGCTATAGAATCTCAAGGATGGGCCCTTGGCCTACCCTTGTGGACCACCTTCTTGGAGAAAATGCCAAGCGGTATCCTGAGATTAGAAGTTAGACAGGCAAAGGGTACGTTAGATAAAGGGAGCATCATGAACAAAGGCCTAGTGGTATGACAAAGCATGGATTAAGTGGATTGGGGTTCGTAAACTGTAATATTTCTGGAACTTTAAGGCATGAGGCAGACAATGCCTATAGATCCTTATCTGTAAAGCAAGATGTTTTTTTTCTGTTCTTAGAAACTTGGAATTTGATTTCATAGGTAAGAAGGAGCCAGAAAAGAGTTTTATTTTAAGCAGACGTGAGCCAATCAGAATCACTTTTAAAACAAATAATTTGGAAATGACTGTGAAGACTGGATTAGAGGAAATCAGTCTAGACAGAGAAATCACTTAGGAGGCTTTAGAATAGCCGAACAGTATGAAAGGCATGGAGGAGGAAAGTGGGGAGTGGCTGGAATGCTGGAGAGAAGGGATTGTATTCAAGGAATGTTTTGGAAGTAAAATTGACAGGATGTAATCAGTGGCTGGATTGGGACCAGGGAAAGAGGGAATTAAATAAGTCTTAAAGTCAGATTTCTGACTTGAGCCACTTGGTGGATTATAGAGCCATTAACTGAGACAGGGAATATAGCATGTCTGACAGGAATTAATGGATTGTTCTGGGTGAATCAATTTGATGAGCGAGGCTTTTGTATTCATTCATTTTTTCTCCCTTCATTACATCACTAAACATTCATTTAGTACTTACTATTGACCAAACAGTAGTCTAGGCACCCAGAATATTAAGACATAGGACAGTCCCTACTGTCCAGGTGCTCACAGTTCACTGAACTATGACAGATGTGTTAGCAGGTAGTTACAAAAATAATATAAAGAGGTGCCCAGTGATGGCAAAATGCACAAAATATTCTCAAAGCAATGATGAGTGGAACTTCACTCAGCAACGGGGGTCAAGAAAGATTTCCTGGAAGAAGTGACTTTAGGGTTGAGTCTCAAAAGATGAGTTAGACAAATAGTCAGTTTTAAACAGTTTTTTTTTTCTCAATTCCTGGGACCACAGTGATACTTAAGGTGAGAGTCCATATCGGCAACTCTCGTACATATCATTCCGCGAATGCTTTGCCAGGCTATGATCATGGAAAATGGATCCCTTAGCTTCATCAGTTGGTTTAGGTGGATATTTGGGAAACTTCCTGGATAGGTCACTAAATTGTTTCTATAGGTATCAGATGAGCACTTCTGACCCTTGGTTTAAGTTTTCATGTTATGGGCCGGCCCGTGGCTCACTCAGGAGAGTGCGGTGCTGATAACACCAAGGCCCCGGGTTCGGATCCCATATAGGGATGGCCAGTTCGCTCACTGGCTGAGCGTGGTGCTGACACCACCAAGTCAAGGGTTAAGATCCCCTTACCGGTCATCTTTTTTTTGTCTTTGTCTTTGTCTTTTTTCGTGACTGGCAACGGATCGCAACCCTCAGTGTCGTGCCCGTACCGGACCGGCAACGGCAATGGGATTGCAACCCTCGGTTTTGCCCCCGCTCCTCGCTCAGCCAGTGAGCGGCCGGTCTGTATGTGGGATCCGAACCCTCGGCGGGAGCGCCGCCGCGCT